ACGGGTGCAAATAATACCCTTTCTTAGTGATGGCTCGATTCTCCGGCGAGACTGAGATCCCTAAATTCGAACTCACCGGCAATCTATTGAAAGGATCAGAGCTTAAAGGAGTGACATGACTCAGCATAAGCTTGGGGAAATCAAGGACGCTCGGAGACAGACTCTCCGGCTGCCAGCGAGTAGTGAAGGCGGTGGCAGAGGGGATCAAGGGGCTGATCATCTTGAGGTTCTTCATGCTGCTACATCGCTCGTAGAGCTTGAAAGCTGGCTTCTTGTTTGATTTCGAGACTGGAGGGATGGGGTTTTTTAGGGGAGTAGGGACAAAACTAGAACTGTGGGTCTTGGCAGTAGTCTCTGCGGTTTCTGTTGTTGGCCTTCTTGTTTTGATGATGTTTAACAAACAATTTACTTCTAATGTTGTTTGTCTAGTGTTTGTGTTTTCGTATTTATTCTAGGCAAACAACGAGTTGGAGGTTGGATGGATTGCGCCATAACGATCATATCAAATGGAGGTTGGCGGTATAGTAGGTGAAGCTTTGTACAATTCAAGTTAAAGATCGAAGTTCAAGCTTCATCCGTAAGATTACCAAGTCAAGCTATTGAAGATCAAGATCAAGCTTGGGTAATTTAGTTTAGGAGTTTATATTATGTGTGTTAGTACCTTAAGCTCAATATAATATTATACACACACATTATATTGGTTTTCATATAGTGTATACATAAGTTTTGGTTTCTATGCATATATATAGTTATATACATACATACATGTGTTTTGGGTTTTTATGTTTATATATATGAAATTACATATTTCATACTCTATTGTGTTTTAGTATTTAGTGCATAGAATATGCAATTTTATGAAAATATTGTATTCTCAGTTTATTGACTTAATAACAATCATATACATCTTCTATTAATTCTACAAAATCATTTTGTATTGTTTTAAAACATGGTTAAGCTAAAATGTCAAAACTCATATGTTCACATTTTCATGTTTTGGACTATTTTGCAAAATGATGATATTTCTCATTTGGGAAGTCCTTTTAGAAAACCAGTTTTTGTAACATGTGTATTATCACGTCTACAATCATTTTTCAAAGTTTCATAATTTTTGGAATTAATTTGGTATTTTTAAACAGGGTTTTAAGGTCAAAAAAACTATTTTCAAAACCTGTATTTTCAATATATCAGTTCTCGGTCGACCGCCACGGTCGACCGTGCCTGGTTCTTTTCCTGAGTGGGCAGTAGCAACTTTCACGGTCGACCATCACCGTTAGCCTGTAAGTTCCCACGGTCGACCGTAGCTTTCTCTGGATATTTTCTCAGTTTTGGTTTTGCCTCGCGGTCGACCGCGAGTTTCCCACGGTCGACCACCGCACTGTCTTTTCATTCCCAACAGCTATTTTCCTGCAGCTATTGTTTGGGGCTTTTTGGTCTTTTGTTTGCGGTTTTTGGCTGAGGCTTTGGGAGGCTATAAATACCCCCATTGATCTCAGTTCTAAACTAACTAATGAGAGTGTTTTAAATAAGTTTTAAACAAGGGTTTAAGTGTGTTTAGTGTCTGTTTTGTTTGTGAAGAAGTTTTCTCAAGTGGAGGAGATCATCTATTGTTTGGGCTTCAATCTCCATCTCTCCATTTTGTTATTCAGAGAAGAATCTCTAAACTCATATCTAGCTATTTATACGTTTGATTTATATTTCCATAAGCTAGTATTTGTATTGAGTTTAGATTTGATTTGATTTTCTCATTGCTTATACACACAACCATTGAGCTTATTGTATTTACATACATTATATAATTAGGTTGTAGGGAGTTGTAACAATTGAGAGTGAGCTACATTGAGTTCTTATCTATTGAGGAGAACATATTTGTTATTACATTGTGAGTGTTGTAAGGTTTTCGGTGAGCTAAAAAACCGAGTGTGTTATGAAGTTTTCAGTAAACTAGAAAACCGAGTGTGGGGAGTGAATGTTGATCGGTGAGCGTTGAAAGCCAACATTGTGAAGTGATTGTGAACGTTGATCGGTGAACGTTAAAAACCGACATTGTGAGGTGTAAACGTTATTCGGGTGAGCATAGAAAACCTGGTTGTGATAGTGGATTTCTCCCCGGGAGTAGGGAGCGGAGACGTAGGACGGAAGGTCCGAACTCCGTGATCATTTGAGTGTGTTTTAGTTTGTCATTGGCGCATTTGCTTTTGCATTTATCTTATATCGCCAATTGTGCATTGCTCATTTATTTCATCCATTATCTTGTTTATGTTTATTTTACCATTGTGTTAGTTTATATATCCTTGCATATATTTTTATTATATAGGATATATCTCATTGTTCATATTGCTTATCCTAGCTCATATATCTTATTGTATTTCATACTTTCTAGGATAACTTGTTAATTAATTTTAATTGGTATAAAATCGGATTAGATTAGCATAAGACCCTAATCACCCCCCCTCTAGGGTCTAACAATTGGTATTAGAGCTTGGTGCTATTTGATTTAAGGTCTAATCGCCATGAGTTAAAGATCAAAGTTATCTTTTTGTGCTAATCTTGTTTTGATTGTATTTGTATATTGATTACATATTTTTATAAATTATGGATATGAATGATGCATCTTGTTTAGGCTATGATTCTAGTATTGCTCCTAAATTTAATGTTTTTCCTTATGCTTAATGGTGTTTTAGATTCAAAATATTTGTTCAATCTAAAAATATTAATTTATGGGAAGTCATTGATTGTGCTTATATTGTGCTCACATTGGAGAAAGCTAAGTGGAATAAAAATGATAAAAGATTATTATTATGAACAAGCTCTTGTTGGAATTCTTACATAATACATTTGATTCATCTTTGTCTAACAAGTTTGTTCATTTTGATAGTGCTTACACTTTATGAAAATCTATTGAAGCACATCAAGGGGACTTGGAGGTGATCTGACAAGCCTTGGAGGATCCGACTTCAAGTTCATATGGAGCATCATGCACACGACCACTAGGCGATAGCCCTAGTGATGTTTGCGAGTTCGAAACCACTAATGATTTATCTAGTGATGAACTTGCTTGTGCTAGTGAAAAATAGTTACATGCCTATAACATATTATATAAAAAATTTATTGATTTGCAAAGCAAGCATGAAGATTTAAAATCCGATCATGAGAAGTTAGCTTCCAAATTTGATATTATTTCTCAAGAAAGTATTGCTCTTCAAGAAAACAATGATATGTTAAATTTGGAAAATAATAATTTAAAATTGAATATTGCTAACTTGACTCATGACAAAAATAATGCCATGTTAGAAGTAAAGAACATAAAAAATGATACTGCTTCTTTTATAAATGACTATTTATTTTCTACTTCTAATGTAAATGCATATGTGCCAAATG